CACACACACACACACACACACACACACACACACACACACACACACACTGACTATACAAATGCTGAGAAGGGGCACGTTAAAAAACATATTCAGCAGATCAGAAAGCGCAGAATGGAGAAACCTAACTTCTACTTGAACCCTCCGCAGGCTGAGCCACTGGACTGCACAGACATCCACGGAACAATGGGTGGATTGTGCCTCTTTGTCTAGCTGGTGAAAGTGAACTTAATAACAGACCAAATGTTTATGCTGGGCATTCTGAAGCTTAGCTTCTGGTTTCATCTGAGTCTCACAATTGCTCCTTTCATGCCCGGAGAATAAATGAGAGGATACAGCTAGGCTGTGTTTGGCCCAGCTCCTCTTCTTCCTCATTGCCAAAGGTAGGCCCCCGTGTATGAAGAAGTCTTTAGGTTTCATTTAAAAGCCTACCCCTAGGTGAAGCATAGAGGCAGCTGCTCATACCATAGTGAAAGTGAAACCCTGCATGTGTGTTTCCGAAAAGGCCTGGGAGGGGATGTGAAAAATAATGAACCAGATGACCTTCTAGGTCCCTTCTCGGCTTTGAGCTCTCTTTGTGTGCTGCTTGCCAAAGAGGAAGAGACAGCCCCCGAGGCATTGGCAGATGATGGGGTTTTCTCATTAGCCAAGCTGCTGCACAGCTCCAGCTTCTGAGGACTGCTGAGCTCGGTGCTGGATGGTGATGATACAATTTCGTCCTGTGCCTCTTGACCTTGCCTTGAGAGGAACTTCATTTCCATCAAAGAGGGATGGTATTTTTCATGAAGGAATTATTTTTGACCCTAATAGCAATACTGCCTAATGTCCGATCACCACATCCCTGACCACTTCATAGGTATCTACTCTCTTCTGCCTTTTTACATGAATTTGTTATATTCTAGTGTGTGAGAGAAGGGGGAGAGGGAGAGAGAGGGGTAACATCCATGTGAAGGTCAGGGGACAATTTTCAGGAGTCAGTGCTCCTCTTTCATCATGTGAGCCCTGGGAATGGATTAAACTTATGTTGTCACTGAACTCAGATTATCATTACCATGATTGGTGCCTTTACCTACCGAGCATCTTACCTACCTCTTTCCCTATTCTCTTGAACCCTCGCTCCATTCCTCCGTCTCTCTCCCTGGTTTTTTGAGACAGGGTCTCTCTGTGTAGCCCCGGCTGTCTTGGAACTTGATCTGTAGACCAGTCTGGTCTTGAACTCAGAGATCCTCCTGCCTCTGCCTCCTGAGTGCTGAGATTAAAGGTGTGTGTCACCATTCCTGGCTTTGAATAATCTCTTAATGCTTCTCCAATAGAATCTCTCCATTATTTCAAGTCCCTCCTTCGGACTTTAGTATTCTATTTATTATGATATCTTAATTGTTTCAAGCTTTACACACATAAGCATGAATGTGTGAGCAGGCACATGTACACATACACACACAAAGACATACATGCGCGCGCTGGCACACACCGTTACTACCTGACCACATTGTTCTTCACATTTTAGCTATTTCATAGGCATCCACTCCTCATTATAGTATCTACTCCCATGATCTGCTGTGGCCCTCTGAGACACTGAACTATGACATGCACCTATTGTCTTTCTAACAATAACGTTTGCCATTTAGACAGAACAATCTAGCATTCTTTCTCTGTAGCCCTTTTCTCCATGGAAGTAGACTGGCTGAGTGGAGAAAATATAAGTGTACCTCAGCACAAGTAAATGGCTGCCCCAGGGTCAAGCAGAAAAATGACGAAGGACAGAGAAACAAAACCAGGGCCCTCTTGTCTTCCTTTTTATCTGTCTTTTCTGCTACATTACTTCCTGCTGAAGTTGTTTTTCCCTTTTATTCTTTTATTGGAAACTCCCAAGAGTCATTAGGTCATAGGGAGAAAGGCTTTTGTTATGCTTGTCTACCTTTTATGAATTTTCAAATTTTTTACCATAAAAATTGTTGACTTGGAGTACAGCACCACATTTTACTTTTGATTTATC